AAACACCCGTTTTACCCTGTGCGAAGTTTACTGATTAGATATAGGAAACATGATCAAATGTTTCGCCTAACTTGGCCTTCACCTAGTAAGGTTTGAGCTTCAGGTACATACACATGTAATGAGAGTGTCTGTGTGAAATTCCACGTAAATCAACTATTAACATAACGTAAGTACGTAAATAGTTTCATTGTATTATAATCGAACTAAAAAAATAAGGCAAGCTTTGTTTGTAATTTACGCGAGCATTTAAATGAAACACTTTTATCGGTGAAACGTGAAATATATTAACTTGTTTTTGTTTTATTTACTTATATAAATAATAATAATAAAAATACCCTCATGTCAATCTAAAAATCAAGTAAAGTACTGTCCGTAGTTAACGCGAGTAGTATTTATTTAAATAAAACACTATAACGGTTTTAAAACGCGATATATATAAAAGAGAGGAAGGAAAGAAAAGGGGGTATTAAAAAAGGGGGGGGGGGGGCCCCCCCCCCCCAAAAAAAAAATAAAAAATGGGGGGGGGGTTTTTTTTTTAAAAAAAAAAAAAAAAAAAAAAAAAAAAAAAAAAAAAAAGGGAGGGCGCCGCCCCCCCCCCGGGGCCCCCCCCCCCCAACCCCCCCCCCCCCCCAAGGGGGGGCCTTTTAAAAGGGGGGGGGGGGGGGTTTGGGGGGGGGGGCCGGGGGGGGTCCCTTTTTTTCCCCTTTGGGAACACGGGCGGCGATGACGTAACGCTTTGCCTGTTTTGCGCCGATATATATATTAATAAATTACACAATTAACTACGGCCCGATGTTTCCGGCACGTTCACGGCTGCTGCAAGGCATCCAAAACGTCGGGCCGTAGTTAAAATAAGTTTAACTGATATATATTTTGAGTTTTAAACCGTTAAAGTATTTTATTTTAACACATTATATTTTAATTGTGTAGTTTACTTTAGGAGAATAATTTTTTTTCCAATAAATAATAGCATGAAGCGCAAAAATTAATTAAGAAAATTCACGTTTTAATCCAAGAAGGAATTGTAAAGTCAAACTCACATTAAATCCAATAAAATTAAATGTTTCTTAGAAATTGTTAAAGTAAAGGCTTTATTAATATTGTTCCGTTAAACACCTGGGCGCAGAGCTAGTCATATACAAGCTTACTCTCGTAAATATCCATTTATAAATCTTAAGATTTAATATAAGCCGGCGTACAATAGAGTGGTTTATGAAACACGCGTTTTCGCTCCTTATGAGGCTTCATAAGGAGAAAGGATGAGGTACTCGATATAAACATTGTATACTCGTAGTCTGTGTAAATAAATCTTCGTGTTATTAATTCGACTTTCATGTACTCATAAGAGCTTTAAGTTTGTGTTTTCTTGGGTTTCTTGCACCGGGGTAACATGAACCGTACTGAATCCTTTTAGTTGAAATTTTCCCAAATTTTTATCTCTGTTAGGACAACATGAAATAGCAATTAATAAAAACAAATAAATAATAATTGCTCTGATTTAGTAAAGGATACAGGTTGAAATGTTTAAATATTAAGATAGCGCGTTGAAACAAACTCTTCAGCTTTATATATTATTAATATACTACTTATAATTTATAATATTTCTAAAGTAGTTTCTACTTGGTTTAGAAAGAGGGGAAACGGAATTTTAAATAAACACATATATCTAAATGCTATAAAGCGTAAATTTTAAAGCCCTTTTTCCCGCGCAGATATAAAAATATACAAAGCTTCAATTTGTGTGTAAATGTAAAATGATTTTAATTGGCTTCGCCTAGAAAGACACGACGTCCATAAAGATTATTACTTTGTCAGAAACCTCCCAAGAGAGGAGTTTTCATATTGGTTCTTCAACCAGTATTTTCTCAACTATTTTCATATCACGTGAATGTTATCTTCAGCTTTTTTTATTATTTATACAAAATAATTTATTGTGAAATTATACGAGCTCGATAATGAACAATACAATCCTAATAATTAACAGGTCGTATTTTAAATCAATATTATATAATAATAAATATTTTTGAAACATGCACTTCTGGAAAATTTAAACATTAAACGGGCAGTAGGAATCCGTCCATTATAATAAAGGAAAAGGCGTTAAAAATTCTATATATTATGTTTCAATTTGAGGAGATCCTCAATGTAATTTTCTTTGGACATTGGGAGATCCCAATTTACAACACAACTACCGACTTAATAACCGCTTTGGGCTCTGTTGTTAATACTTAGTAGAGATATTTTGTCCCCCCCCCCTTACAAATTAAAAACAAATAAAAATCTATTTACATTGAAAAAAAATTCCACATTGGCAAGACTTAAAATAAATTAAAATTAAAAAATATAAATTATTATTATTATTAAGCCGGCATCCACAGCGTTCCATGCTGCTGTAATTTTTAATTTGTATATGTAGTCATTATGTTCAATTACTTTTGAATAATATTAAAGATTTCCCAACACAAAAATAATTTTTCAAATTAAACCAGTGTTACTCAGATTAGCGCGTATTAACAAACAAACTCTTCAGTTTTACAATATTAGTATCGATAACACCAATTCTATGGGCCTTATATTTAACTGCAAGCAAACGAAATGTATTTATTTTAACCCGCTGAAGAGCCATTACAATCATAATAATAACCTTCAAGGAACTTTCCGCCATATTCAGATTTCATACCACCATAAAGTCCTAACCCGTCTTACCCTACTAGGGACACATAAACCAAATGGGGACAATAAAATCTCTAACATAAAGCGTAATAGGCGCCGACTGTTTATTTCTTTCATTTGAATATATTTTATTCAGCTGGCTATGACGAGGCCCCACCGTTGAGACTAAGGGAGTAGTTTTTTAGTATTTGGGATATTTACATACGAAATTTTGATTTAACGATATGATCACAAACTTCTTTCAATTAAAAAAACAACTCTGTTTGTAGTTCAAGGGATACACTTTCAACGATTTAAAACGAGAAATTTACGATTTAACTTATTTACAATGTAATATTTTAACTTTAATTGAATTGAATTTTATTTGAATTTTACACCGATGAAATTGTTTTATTAATAAAAAAAATATTTAAGATATATTTTTTACTATTCAAATCTCAATTAAATAAAAGCGTGATTAACATGTATATAATTAGAACTTGTATTTCATTTTCAGTCAAATTACAATCTAGTTTATAAACGTGTCTTTCTCAAAATTATAAAGGTTTGTGTCTCGTCTGCAACACAAATTCGCTAGCAATCAAATTCGTCGCTAATAAACAAACCAATCAAAGGCGAAAATGTCTCAGTAACTGAACAATTAATTAATATTTTATTAGAACAGTTTCGTCCAACTTCCATTCACATTAATGTTATCGAAGTAACGGAATGTAATTGAATTGGTCATTTCGCAACGCGGTCATTTTAACTTAATGTGTTCTTTCCATTACGAAAAATATCGGAATTGAAAAACATTCTATTCTTAGATTGTAATTCTGTTATAGGTCTATGGGATGGAAAATGTTGTATGTATGTATGTGTTTTTAACCATAGCTAAAAGGAAGTGTAATAATTATTTTCGCTCTAAGTAGGTATTGTAAATTTTTATAAGTCGTTGAAATACTCTGCTGGTTTTTAAAGAACATGGTGTGATATAACGGTACGTATTTTTTTTAGATAGAAGAGAAATACCTCAGCCGTTATATACACAAGATGCACTGTTGCCCTTGTTTAGGTAATTTGAATTTGGAGCAGCGTTTTCGCCAAACAAACCAGTAAACATAATATGTAGTGGGTCCCCCCATGACCATGCTTGTGATAGGCATCCGAAAAATATAGCTGTAGTAACATAAATGACTGATAAATTTTGTGTCTAAAAAGTTTTAAAGTCATGTGATTTATATTGTAACATTATAAGATCTACCTGCAAGTTAAAACCATTTAAAATGTTACTCAATTTGTAAAAATTGCTTCATACACAATCTTATTAAACATTTCGCGTTATTAGAATATTTCCACGCTTCCATTTATTTGCGGAAAGCGGAGAATATTTATGCTGTCACTCAAATTTAATTGCCTCATTCTAATAAAATTGCTTAAGGTCTTATAAGTTCCTGTAATAACAAAACAGAATGAACTTTACTTATTTTCTGTTTCATCATCTTCACCGTAATAAGTAGTCATAATACCGCAATAATGATTATATTTAGATAAAACACTTTAATGATTTAAAACGCAATATATTTTAGTTAAACTTGTTAGGTAACTCGTTGTGGTCTCCCCGTGACCACGGCTGCTGCAAAGCATCCGTAAGGTCGGGCCGTAGTAAAAAATAATTTTCAAACAAGTTTAACTAAAATATATCGCGTTTTAAGCCGTTAAAGTGTTTTATTTAAATGTGTATTACTCGCGTAAACTACAGACAGTATTTAATGATCTATATCGATAAAGAGGTCTTCAACACACATACGTTGTCGTTACCTGCAAAAACTCAAAGTTAATAATAACTAGATTTATTACTTATAGAAAAATTAACACACGAATACCAAAACAAACAAAATCGACTGACATTGTTTTGAGTGGTCGAAGTTTTTGTTTAATCGTACCTACCCAGAGCCCACTGTTCACGTTGATATGCTATTAGTGATAAGATTGTATGTAAATTTAAAATGCTCCTTTAAATAACTTTTTTTATTACTACTAACCTTATAAACCGAAGTTTTGTTATACCCTCAAACAAGTTAAACGACTCGATTATATACCCTCACACAGTTAAAATAACTAGTTAGAGGTCATGTTTATACTACCCTACTGACGTTGAGAATGCCTTTAAGTTACATTGTGGCCTTTTAAATCATTAAGAATATTGAATCAAAATAAACACAATTATTATTTTTAATGTTTTTAATATAACCTTTTACACTAGACAATTCGTAGCTTCTTAATGCATTTGCTGTTTATAAATGTTTAAGTGAAGCTAATAATTTATCTTTTAGACTTGTTTTGTCCTAATATGTCCTTCTTGGTTTCGGTGAGAAATTTGAAATGCCGCCTTGACGGTCATGCCTCTCGAAAGTGGAGACATCTGGCAGCGGCTGTACGTTTATCAGATCCTTCTTGACCATCTCACATCGTGTAGTCATCAATTGATCGAAACGTATTTTGTACGGAATGAGCACTTTTATCGTTCCTGACTCGGTGTACCATCTCGCTTCAGCAGGGTTCAGTATATCAGATAGCATTCTGACATCTTTGAAATTATTGCCTGTGCTAGAAGCCACTACGTTGATGACCCTATGCCTTATTTGAACGTTCACGTTTGCACTGATGACCCCGGGCACCGAATAGATCAGCATATAAGAGTCAATGCTGTAAATTTCTTGAACGTTATTTTTGTTTTGATTGCAGGAGTTATAGTAAGCTTCATCGGTGTCGATAATCTTGCGGGCTAAAGATTCGAAGTCGATTGTATTTTTATTCGCTTTATTAAATGTATTGTGATCTTCTTCACATGACTCACTACTGTCGCTCCCGCTGGAGTCACTACTGTCCCCTTCACTGGAACCGCTACTGTTTTCTTCACTTGAGTGCCAATGTTCATGCTGACCGTGTGGGCCATGTCCCCATGCATCAAAGAAGCCAGGTGGATGATTATGTGTCCCGTCGTGGTGGTGCGGCCAATGGCTGTTCACAACTGAACAAAAGAAAAGGAGCAGAAGGCAATGATACATCTTGGTGGCTTACTTGAGAATGTTGGTCTATTTGAAAAACCGACGTTTTATAGTCGTTCCGTATCAATCCGGTTTCCCCACTGCAAGTGTTATTTTTGTTTATCCTCGTATTTTCAATGCTAATCTTTAGCCTAATTTGGTTTGCCCCTGCAGTGCCTCGCAAAATTGAAACAGGGAATGTAAAATGTTTATATTCAAGTAAATATTGCAAAGTATTTATTTATTTTTAAACATTAATGTACCTATAAACACTTGGTTTTCAGCCATTGGTATATTTATTCTTTTTTTTAGGTGACGTTTAGCTATAACCAGAACGTATAGCTCTCGGGTATAGCTATTTCAAATAAAGAGGAAATAAAATCAACTCGCAGAGGTCATAGTCTATTTTTTGATATTTTGATACCAAATCATTACGTGGTTTATGAGAGTTCTGTGCTCACTCTATGAAACACATTATTTTCACATACTCCATATTTTCAACCATAGCATGTAATTTATCAACACACCGACATTACAATCATTTACTTCGCCATTGTGTTATCGCCTTTGAGGTTAAACTTGTTATTAAGCACTGAGTATTATCGTTATCGAACTACTCCAATTTAGAGTAGCTGTAATGGCTGAATAAGCGTTGTTAGTTTGTTCTGTATTCTGTGCCTATGACTAAGGCTACTTTTACTATAATATTAGATAACTTCGCTAGCCAAATAAGGGTGAAAGCCAACGGGTCTTGAGTTCAATTCCCACTGGGTCCCCCATATCTTTATCTTTTTAGAATTTTTCGAAAACATCTTTGACCCTTTATAGAAAACTTGAGCAGTCATTGGTTGGTAGAATTATTGAAATTCTCTCGTGATAATTTAACCACCGTCCACTGTTAGAATAGCTGTGAATAAAAATCCGAGTTTTGCTTTCAGTCTTTAGATTTCCTTAAGTCAAAATTCGATATTTTATCTTAATAAGAAGTGGTAGTAAGGCTGGGGTATTTTACCTGAACAAAAAAAAATCATGGTTATTTTTCCTCCTGGATCATAAAAATACTTCAAAACTACCTAATTACTGTATAAATAATCCTAATTACAACACTTCAAATGCGAAAAATATCAGTTTAACTTGTTGAAAAATTAATTTTAACTTAACCGGCGTTTCCCCATCTCCCCACGACTACGATCGCTGTAAAGCATCCGAAACGTCGAGCCGAAGTGAAAAATAATTTGCAAACAAGCTTAACTCATGAATGTCGCGTTTGAAACCGTTAAGTCTCAACTACCTGTCTGTCGTTATCTACCAGAACACGAGAACAAAGTGAATCGGCCCGTACACTCTCGTAAGTTTCGTTGGCAAGTATCGCCTACCTGATTATCTCGGCTCGCAACTCTGCTTGTTTCATTAAAACTTTTCGCAACCACTCGTCCGGAAACGGATTAATTCACTTACGCCTATTTGCATTTTTATCGAGATTTCTAGGCATTTTCTTTATCGGATTCTTAAGTCAATAAAGTATTTATCAAAACAAGGATCTTTACTTACAAACTTTTATTATATGAGAAAACCTATCGTTTGAGGCAGTATTAATATAAATAAAAAAATGTTACCTTAGAATTAGAATATAGTGGTGGCATTTAGTAGCATTTAAAACTTCAGTCGTAAATATTAGTATTCTGTCTGTAGTTACGCGAGTAGTAAACATTTAAATAAAACAATTTAACGGTTTAAAACGCGATTTATTTTAGTTAAACTTTTTTTAAGAATGAATGAGCCGTGACCACGGCTACTGCAAAGCATCGCGTTTTAAACCGTTAGAGCGTTTTATTTAAACTTCGGTCGTAGGTAAAATTCAAATACATATGGGAAGAAGCACACAGAAAACAATTCTGAAGTTAACTTATATTATAACGCGCCACAGTCAGTATATCATTTGTTTTTTACACTTTTTCTTTTATTTACTCATTAAACAATTTTTAACCGCCTCTATAGCCAAATGGAAAACGTATAAAGCATATCATTGCGTTAACCGCGAGAGGTTCTGGGTTCGAATCCATGGGAAACAAAAAATTGTTTCGGCCGGGCAGGGGACAGAAGTCTCATCAACTACTTACCTTTGTCCAATTGTGTCCGCTTCACTGATCCGTTCTTTACTGTTAAAGAATTGTGTTCGCCCCATGCCCCACAAGGGGGAACGGGATTTCTCACTATCTTTTAAGATAACTCGAAAGAACCGTTGTTATGGTAATAATTTTTTTTTGTCTAAATTAATGCATTTGGTTTTACCAATTATTAGTAACATCATACAAATTCAATATTGTAAACCACAACACAACTAGATCAGCTAGTTAATAAATAATTATATAAAAAGGACCACGATTTAATTTATTCATTTTACGGTTAATGTTGTAGTTATAATTATTTATTTTGTCGCAGTAGTAACGTCGCATTAACGATGTCAGAGATTGTCGTGTTACTGAACCAAATGTAATTGGAATAACTTTATCAATGAGCGATCGAACATCAATTCTAGTTTACCGAATTATTCAGATTGGCCGTAACACGTATCGAATTATGCCGCGCTTCAGATTGCCAATTCGATGGTAAAACTCAATTCTCATATATTGTCTATGGTTATTAAATAAAAGGATATTTATTTAACTGTAAACTTTTCTTTTAAGTAAAGTTTCCCCCGTTGAGTATGGGGGCGAACACATGCAAGTGTCCGTTTCGTTGTCAGAGCAATGTTTGAATAATATTAATCAAGGGACCATGGGTTCGATCCCCACCGGGTCCAACATATTCTATTTTTTTTTTCTGAAACCAACATGTTTCACTGGAAATCTGGTTTAAATACTGTCTATAGTTTACGCGAGTAGTACACATTTAAATAAAACACTTTAACGGTTTAAATGCGATATATTAGGTAAACTTATTTGAACGTCGGGCCGAAGTTAAAAATCATTTTCAAATAGGTTTAACTAATATATCGCGTTTTAAACCGTTAAAGTGTTTTATTTAAATGGAAATCTGGATATTAAATGGGCGATAGGAATATCTATATTGCGTGTCGGTTACAATCTGTGGATTTCCAAATATCGACTGTTGTTAAAATGTTAAATGGACGAGCTATTTCACCAACAATGAATTGAACGCCATGCTTGTATGTCCTCCTCTTCCACAAAAAAAGCATTTCCCCGAGATTCGAACCAAGGAACTCTTGTGGTTAAGACAATGTTTTACCTCAATCATTATTTAACATTTAAAGGTATTATCTATCCTATTAATAATAATTTTTATTAATATTCCTATTAATAATACCTTTTCCTATTAATAATATTTTTTATCAATATTTATTTGGCGTTCAAAGTGTAACAAATTGCACAATTGTACTGAAACTAGGATACCTCATAGAAAGTTATAGATGTCTGTGATTTCCCGATGCCTGGAGCGGGCACTGATTCAATTTGTCTCATAATATTTGCAGGAACTTGCGTTATACCTTGCTCCTTCATAAATTGGACTTTATTTTGATATTAGAGTTTGTTTTAAACTGAAATTTTCGAATATTATTGAAGACATCCGATAGAAGTCTAAGATAGGTTCGTTGATAAAGCAATCTATGGCTAATGATTGACAGTCAATCATTAGCCATAGATATTAGAGACATAACTCGGACTGGAAATCTAGATATTGATTAGGTGGTGGGAAGTCCTTCCGCTACCGCCGGTCATGAAAAAGTCTACTTGAATCGTGTCTTGGTTCCAGCCTGTGGATTTCCCAATATCCAAAGCCAAAATAGTCGACAGTCTCGTTTATGCGTTATACGGCAGGGGTACCTACCATCAAGTGAACGTCGTGCTTGCATTTCATTAAGATTAATTCTAAAATAAAATATTTATATTAGTTAAACTTATTTGAAAATAATGAAAAGTCGGGCTGAAGTTAAAAATCATTTCCAAATAAGTTTAACTAATATACCGCGTTTTAAACCGTTAAAGTGTTTTATTTAAATGTGTACTACTCGCGTAAACTATAGACAGCATTGTTTTTTATGTGAATGTTTCATTGTTTCGTCGTAATGAGTCACATCACCGTGCATTCTTCAAACATAATATGTCAAAATGGAAATCAAATTATTCTTCGAAACAACGACTCGTTGATAATTAGCCGTACATTGTTACAATTACACCAATAAACCCGTTAAAATTGTACTAAACATTGAAATGGATACAGAAGTGTGTTCGCCCCATGTCCCACAAGCGTACACGGGACTACCCTCTGTGTATATTATATGATGTACCAACAAGCGAGGTGCTTCTAATAAGGTATATATAGCAAAGACCAGAACAAACACACACGTGAAACCACAGAGCCAATGCGAAATTAATTCACATATGAGGTTAATTGGATTAGCTAAGTGTGCATACATATAGAATTGTGGTCCGTCATGGTGAGTGGGCAAGATGCATTAATATAAGGGAATGTTTGCTTTTGACGCCGACCTGTTAATTGCTTTCCTAGCCGGATTGGGGTTAAGAATATCTCACTCGTTCAAGGTAAATAGATCCACTGTCTGTTTGTGAAAGAAGTCTTTTTAACTTTATATTTATACGGAACTCCTTAAGGTATAGTAAGTAGATGATGGAAAAAGTTAATTGTGTTATTTTTACAAGTAAAAAGGCATCCGAAACATTGGGCCGTAGTTAAAAGATATTGTGACAAAGTTTTACTAAAATATTTCACGTTTCAAACCGTAAAAAGTGTTTTAATGAACACGGTTGTTTCATCTTTAACTAAATGGCGTTTTTATGATAAAAATACAAATAACAATAGATTACTTATTGGAAGGTTCTGGTGCTATTGTGAACCTGGCAATTCCAGAGCGAGACGAGGCGCAAACGAAAAATTCAATTTGTAAATAGAATTTATAAATATATATCTCCTATCACAAAGATGCTTACATAAAGGCTAAACATTGTTTTACACTCAAGATACCTTCCACAAAATAATAC